GCACCCTCTGGACACCTTCGTGGCAAAAATGTACACGCCCCAAAAAACTGCTATTAAATCATCATACATCAATATTACTTACTACTTTATTTTCATGAATCACTTAAAGGTAGGGTAGGTAAGTTTCTGTTATATTCCATGGAATGCTCTTAACATCCCGATAGCAATGAATATCTGAAGTGCTTTGACAAAAAATCCATAAAAAAAATGTCATCTGTGGAAGCCGTAGTACTGTAAAAAGTACGACCAATCATTTGAGCTGGTTTCTCCAAAATTACCTAACCCACCTTTAAGTATTATAAAACATGACTATATTCAAAGAGGAGAGGTGTGCAGGTTTGAAAAGAGGCAACATGTCGTGCAGGATTCAGTGTCAGTGGGGGTCCCGGGCCTTGTTATATATAAGATAAGATAAGATAAGAAGTACTTTATTGATCCCAATTTGGGAAATGTTTGCATTGCAGCAGCATAAAAAGACAAGGCATTGTACATTAGAGAAACTAAAAGACTAGAAATAAACAATCCAAAATGTAAACGTCTCAAATTGAAATAAAATAGCATTAAAAAAGTAAAATATATACATGTTGAAATACAAATTAACAGTAACAAAATATAAAGCAGGATTGTAATGGCAATTGTACTTGTTCCAATGTCCTATATCCTTTGCCATTACTTCACAGGAGGGTTTAGAGCAGGGGTGTCAAACTCAAATACACAGTGGGCCAAAATAAAAACTCAAAACTACCAAACATTCAATCATTTTCTGGATTTTAACCCTTTAAATGCCTGTTTAATTATTTGTATTATTTATTACAAAAACACACAAAACCTCAATTATTTTCCATATAATAATTAGTAGGGGGATGGGGCTTTGGTGGCTATTATGGCGCATTTCCACTGCAGTGCGTAGCACGGTTTAAGCGGGCCAACAACCGGGCTGAATATGCTAAACTAGTGACGTGAGTGGCTACAACTACAACACAATGACCATATTTTACCGTGATTTAATTGTAATACACGTTTCAAAATGATGCCAAAGTAACAACATACTGATACCGGTTAGTAAAAACCATGAATTAATGCTTTGACAAGTCTGCAGACAGACGGCAGGCGAAAAACCTTTAAAATGCGTGTTTTCTGAATGGAGATCGGCTAAGCTAACGCAGTATATGCTCCGACCGTCCACACTCACAACAACGGCCTACAGACATAAATAAACCAGCGACTGTATTCTCCATGACACAGGCAGTCTGTGGTTTGTACTTGTTTAACTGTTGTCTAGTTTCTGAACAGATATGAGGAGCTGTGAGCATCAACGGCTGATGTTCGGTTTTGTGTTTCGCATTGAAGATGATGTCACGGCTCCGCCTACACTGCGTTACCATAGTTACTACCCCAGCTACTAAACTGTAATGGAAACGCAGCATAAAGTGAGCCTGGCCTACCAAGGCCTAACTATACCGTACTAAGCCGTGCGAGGCCCTGCAGTGGAAAAGCGCCATTAGAGTCTTGGATATGTCAAAGATTAACAACAAAGTTGATTTGACTGCATTATTATTTTTTACGTAGTGTCAGATACTACCTCTGGACACCTTCGTGGCCAAAAATGCCTCATTGACTTCCATTCAAACCACATGTTATGATCTCACTGCCATTGCAGTATAAAACCATGCATTTTGTAATGGCAGCATTTCATTTAGAAGAAAAGTAGTGATATTTGATATTTCTACTCTATTCAACCAGATTCAACCATTTTCCCCCTGTAGGCCGATGCATCACATTCTTACATTTTTGCCCAAGTTATATTATGGAGCCGTGTGACTACCCCGAGAGTGGTGTGTGTGTGTGTGTGTCATTTCCAGCAGTAGACAGGCAGGTCCTGCAGCATGTCACCTGGTGCTCTCAGGTGGTAGAACAACTATTTTTGTAGGCCTGTGCACAACCAGCACACACCTCTCCTCCCTCTCTGTGTGTGTGTGTTTGTGTGTGTGTGTGTGTGTGTGCGTGTGTGTGTGTCTGTGAGAATCTGTAAGCATGCACGGATCATTTCAAGGGTAAAAAAAGGCCATCATGTGTTTGATGTGTCTTTGAAGAGGTACTCAAAAACTAAAAACAACTGTTAGTGTGTTTATGCACCTGGCTGCCAAAGATAAACATGCAGTTTGACCAAGGGCTTATTTCATTAGTGAGCAGAGAAGGAAAAAGACCTGGAGCAAAGAGAAGGAACTAAAATGAAGAAGCATTTCAGTGCAGAAGAGACTTCAGAAATAATCTTGCAGCCTTCATCTGCCGGCGAGCTGCAGGAGTCATCTGAAGCAGACACACGGATCGAGGGGGGGTCTGACACTCAATGCTCTCTGGAGTCCAGCATTTCTTTGCGTTCCTCTGAAAGTGGAGAGGACACTGAGGGTCCGGCCCACAGTGAGGGGACAGAGAAGAACGGAGGTTGTTCTCCCAGGAGCTGGGGAAAACAGGGTGTCCTCACAGATTGTGAGAAGAAAGCCCCCCGCAGCAGCTGCTGCGGGGGGCACAATTACTACACAATTACTACACAATTACTAAGCTGCCAGTGCCTCGAGTTTACAGCTAATTCGCCAAAAGACAAAAACAAATATAGTTAACTAAGGTAGGCTACTAGCTAATGGATAAGTTAGCTCAAGGTTTAGCTAAGACAATTTATCATGGGCATACAGGCTAATGTACTGTACTTAAGGGAAGACACTAAAGGTGAATACAATAAAATGTGTATCTAATAACGTCATCACAATCGCCACATTGATATGCAAAGTAGGCGTTAACTAGGCCTAATTAAAATGCGCTAATTTGCATGCAGTTACCAAGGCATTGCAGGTGAAAAGGATAAAACTAAAAACAAACCAAAAACCATATCACCTCACAACTTCCCCAGATAGTTACTTACGTTAAGTCAGTATTTTCCCCTGAAATGTTATGTTTAAATGCAGATTAGCTTTAAATCTGTAGATTAATTCAGACATGGTAGTAAAACGAACACCATTTATTTGTGTTTGTTGGAAGTTTTATTTCCATTAGAGTGAAAGAAAACATAGAAGCAAAATAGACCAAAAAAAAACGATCTTTGTGCCTGTAATGTCCTTAAACAGTAACTTCATAATTTTGATTGTTGGCTGCTCATTTAATAAGTATTAATTGTACTAGTTTGTTGTCTGCTCTTGTGCGTAGTGAATACTAAAGAAGACCATTGTCTCTGTGTTAGCTGATTATTTTGTAGAATTCTGTATTAAACAATTGCGTGAGTGTGAGGGTATTAAAAATAAATTGGTCAGTAAGTCAGAGATGTGCAACTATATTTAACTTTTTGTTTTAAAACATTTTTTTAGAAATGATTATGGGAAGTGCCCTTTTTCTCACTTGAGCTCCCGCCCCCCAAAATGTCTGTGCACGTCCCTGCACACACACGGAGAGGGAGGAGAGGCGTGTGCTGGTTGTGCACAGGCCTACAAAATTGTTGTTCTACATCCTGAGAGAGCACCAGGTCACATGCTGCAGGACCTGCTGCTGGAAATGAATGATGGGAAATTGTTGAATCTGGTGGAATAGAGTAGAAATATCAAATATACAAAATGCATGGTTTTATACTGCAATGGCAGTGAGATCAAAAAATGTGGTTTGAAAGGAAGTCAATGAGGCATTTTTGGCCACGAAGGTGTCCAGAGGTAGTGTCTGACACTACGTATAAAATAATAATGCAGTCAAATCAACTTTGTTGTTAATCATTGACATATCCAAGACTCTAATAACCACCAAAGACCCACCCCCCTACTAATTATTATATGGAAAATAATTGAGGTTTTGTAATAAATAACGCAAATAATTATTTAAAGGGTTACAATCCAGAAAATGATTGAATGTTTGGTAGTTTTGAGCACGTTAGAAGTTGTTTAAGGTTATTCATGAAAAAAAGTAGAAAGAAATATTGATGTATGATGATTTAATAGCAGTTTTTTGGGGCGTGTGAAGGTGTCGAAAGGATGAAAATTCGAGGAGGGCACAAGGGTTAAACCTTCCCATCCTATAGTGTCTATAACTCACTCAAACTAACAGCATGTGTTCTGGCTGACAATGAACGTACAGAATGCTGCCCCCATAAATAAATAAATTTCTGTTAATGTATCGTACGTTGACATAGTACTCAGCATACATCAGATATTAAACTGGTTCTCAGTATTTGACCATCCTTTTCTCTATTCAACCCAGGAATCCCGTTTGAAGGAGGCATACGACCCCTTTGTTGGAAAGTAAGTAAAAGGTTGTGCACCACATGCAAGAACTTTAGTGTTCTTATGATAAACCTCTCATTGTTTTAGCAACTCTGTGGATTTGGGTACTAGCACCGCCATGACACTACAAATTGTGCACTAAATAATTGAAAAGGTTGTAATGAAATTTACTGAAAGCATGTTCCTTAAACTCATTTTTCTATGAGGTTTGCTCATGACTAGTCAGTTGGATTTATAAGTCTTTACTGCTCCATATGGGCTACACCCACTGTATGAATGCCACATATTACGTTAATTAACCCTGATACACATTTACCTCACCACCTCTGCCTCTCCACGTGTTGTCATTCAGAATATCATGCAAAAGTTTTAAAAAAAAACGTCATAATGCAGACCTACGGTATTACTCAATCAATAAAAGGTTTTTATAGTCAAATCTCAGAAGTTACACATTTGTCTGAGGGGGTTTTACATATCATTCAATTCCGAGTTAAAACTCTCCCCAAAAGAAAACCCACTATTAACTGTAAACCAGTGTGGACTTATTCAACACTGGGGCTTGACTGGGAATGATACTGTAAATTGACAATTTTACTCTGCAACAAATATCCCAGGCAAAATACAGCAGCTAGTTACATGGTCTGGGTTTTTAAAAAAAAAATACAATGTAAAATCTAATTATTTCATCTGCTTGCAATGACAATATCGTTACCCGGATAACAATAAAAAAACACTCACCGATTTCATGTGATTCACAAGGCCTGAGGCTGTTTATTATCAAAATCAAGTCAAAGTCAAAGAATGATGGTGCCCTGTCACCGTGAATGGAGCTTGCTGGGAAAACACAACTTTTACTCAGTTCAGATCAACACATTTATATTTATACAACTGTTTTTAAGCCAGTGGGAATGATGCTTTATTCGTATCCATCGCGGTTGCCTCTGTAACCTCCTCCTCCACCTCCTGAGTATCCGCCGCCTCCTCCGCCGCCGCCGGATCTGTAGCCGCCGCCACCTCCGCCGGAACGACCCTCGGATCCGTAGCTTGATCTGTCGCCATAGCTTCGTTCTCCTCCTCCGCCGCCACCATAGCTTCTCTCGCCGCCGCCGCCATATCCACCACCACCACCTCTCCCGCCACCTCCGCCTCTCCCGCGCCCGAATCCGCCGCCGCCGCCGCCTCTTGATCCTCCGCCACCACCGCCTTTCCCTGCCTCGTCGACGCGGATTGACCGGCCATCGAGGGAGGTTCCGTTCATGCCGTCCATTGCTTCTTTGGCATCCTCGGCGTTGTCGTACTTCACGAAGCCAAAACCGCGGGAATTCCCGGTCTCTTTGTCTCTGATCACGTCCACCTTCTCGATGGTTCCATACTTGGAGAAGGCCGCAGCCAGAGATTCCTCGTTGGTGTCGAAGCTGAGGCCACCGATGAAGAGTTTACCTTCGTCCGACATGTTGTTTAAGTCGTTTTGAGCTTTTCAGTAGTAGGAGACTATTGAATCTGAAGAGCAGCGGAAGGCACGGGTGCTGGTCGTAGAGACGGCGTAGAAATGACCGCATGGAACAGACGCATGGATCTTTAAGGCCGCAGTGAGAGGCAATATCCGGTGACGCCGGTACCACGTGGGTTCCGCCCAGTTTAAGCCCCGCCCCTTTCTGTGAAAAAGCGGGATTTGAATTATAATGTGACTGTTATGTATGTTAAAGAGGTACGGGGAGGTTTTCATAGGACTTAAGGTGTTATTTCTCTGTTTTTTATCCATTTAATGTTATTGTGAGGGCTTTATAATGTGAACTATGAGTATTGTCTGGTCCCCACTTGGCAACAGAAAGGTGGCGGTAATGCGCCATTAAGCTGGATGCAAACAGCCATACAACTCGAGAAAGAAGAAGAAGCCCTGTGAGAAGTGAACGTGAACACGTGTTTATAACAGACTGTTTCCAACAATACTCACAAAATGAATCATATTTCACATGACACATATCTTCCATACACTGTGGCATTAACATGGCATTTTTTAGACGGATAAATCAGGGGGAAATGGGTCTTTGGTCCGTGTACTTTTTATCAGTTTGATTTTTCGTTTGAACCAAAAAACAAAAATACCAGCCTTTTTTCGTTTTTGATTTAAAACGAAAAAACGGGAAACCAAAGCCATTTTCCCGTTTTTGTTGTCTGGATCAAAAAACGGATAACAAGAAGACCTAAGTAAAAAAACTGTCCGATTTTGGTTTTGATAACAACTTCTTTCAATTTTCCGTTTTGTATTGAAGAATGAAGAAAAGCAGTCCGTTGGACCAAAAGTTAAAGAACATCTTTCAAAATAAAAGACACGAGGATATAATGGCAATCCTGTAAAAATGAAATCCTAGAACCCAGAAGTCTGACAAAGATTTATTAGGTTTATTTCTGCATTCACATACCGATATGCGTTTATCGGCATATTATATGTGAGATTAATATACGTATGCAAGCTCTGTGCATAACTTTATTTCGCTGACTTCCGGTTTGTACGACTTTCGGTTTGTACTGTGTCTGTAAATCCAGTGTCCAGCTTGTCGCTGTGTGACAACCATAGGCTGGTGACAACAACGTCATGTTTGTTGCATACCTGCAAGATTTACCTGTGACAAATGTCAGCGATGTGAACAGAACTGTCGCCCTACTTTCACCTGCACCCAGCAGCAAGCGCGAGAACGCTATCTCATACAGTCGACCCCTAAAACAGTTCACACAGTAAATGGAACAGTTGTTAAGCATTATTTTTGTCCAACTTGTCTCTACATTATGAATTTGATGTTTGTCTAAACTGCTAAGAAGCTGACAGCTGAGTTAGAACAGAAAGACATGCAGGCCATAATCACTGCTTGACGCGCAAAAGAGGAATGTGTGTGTAAGGCTTACATGAACTGAATTGAAACACTGTCCATTAGTTGATTAATAAACAAGACATTCAAGTCAAAGTTTTAGGCATTTTCATTTGTAGCACGCTGTAAATATGGACTATGAATGAACACATGCAATGTGGAAACACACAAATAGATTTATTCTCAATACTCATAACAGTATCAGACACAATGACTTTACTGAGAGTGAAGATGACATGAACATAGTTACTGTATGGTACTGAAGACAAAATACAGTATATTGCATTTACCTCTTCCTCCAACTCTCTCTCCAAAATTGGCCTCCATTGTTGTGCACAACAAAGTGTTCAAGCTCAGGTTTCTAAGTGATCTAATTGGTTACATGGCTTTTAACATGTGCATTCTGGGTGCAGGAGCTTGATAATTGAGTGTGGTATTTCAGTGGCAGTGTTTAGCAAACAACAAACAGGCTGTCGGTTTTGAATAACGTGTCTAATGTAAATAAGAGCGTGTAGTTATTTGGTCAATCCAGTGTCCAGCTTGTCGCTGTGTGACAACGTTATGTTTGTTGCGATACCTATAGATTTACCTGTGACAAATGTCAGCGATGTGAACAGAAATGTCGACCTACTTTCACCTGCACCCAGCAGCAAGCGGGAGACATGTTTCAAGTTGTACTTATGAAGTTACGTCTACAATTAGACTGATATGAATTGATTTACTTTTATACTATGAACGATGAAAAATAACTCTAACAACAGAACAGGAACAGAACACAACTGTGACCTCTGTGCAGCACACACAGACCAGTTAAAGTGTATGTTTTACTATTGGCTGTGTCTAACATGTCTAAAATGAGCCGAATCCCCAGGAACATGTTTAACCAGACGGTAACTAATGGCGCATTTCCATTGCAGAGCGTAGCACGGTTAAAGTGTGCCGTGCCAAACCCGACCCGTTTTTGGTTGCGTTTCCACTAGGGGTAGTTCCGGCTAACGGGTACTTTTTCACAGTTTTTCTGGCTCTCCAAAATCCAGGTTCTTTCCGGGCCAACAACCGGGCTGAGTATGCGAAACTAGAGAGAGAATTGCTGGCAAGGGGGCTTCAACTACAAAAAAAATGAACACATTTTACCGTGATTTAATTGTAATACACGTTTCTAAATGATGCCGAAGTAACAACATACTGATACCGGTTAGTAAAAACCATGAATTAATGCTTTGACTAGTCTGCAGACAGACGGCAGGCGAAAAACCTTTTAAAATGCGTGTTTTCTGAATGGAGATCGGCTAAGCTAACGTTGTATGTGCTCCGACCGTCCACACTCACAACAACAGCCTACAGACATAAATAAAGCAGCGACTGTATAGAGAACCGCAGTAACGCGTCCTAAAACCCGGAAGTAAACTCCTTCCGGTTCCGTCAACAAAAACCAATGCAATTTCTCCATAGGATTTTGGAAAATAGCTTGAAATAAGGTCTGTGGTTGAGACACATTTAAGAGACGGATCACGTTTTGTTCAGCCGGATAATCTCCACATGTCTACCCTACTTTTATAATTTTCAAATCATAAATCTAATCGATAGATTTATGATCGATAGATTTATGATTTGAAAATGATAAGAGAAGTTTACTTCCGGGTTTTAGGACGAGTCACTTGGGTTCTCTATTCGCCATGACACAGACAGTCTGTGGTTTGTACTTGTTTAACTTGTGTCTAGTTTCTGAACAGATATGAGGAGCTGTGAGCTCTGAGTGCTAACAGCTAACGGCTGATGTTGGTTTTGTGTTTCGCATTGAAGATGATGTCACGGCTCCGCCTACACTGCGTTACTATAGTTACTGCCCCAGCTACTAAACTGTAATGGAAACGCAGCATAAAGTGAGCCAGGCCTACCAAGACTAAGCCGTGGTGCGAGGCCCTGCAGTGGAAATACGCCATAAGACAGTAACAACACTTCATCCTGAACTCACCTGTGTTTGTTTGTATTAATTACTTTCTTTGTCTCTTGAGTTACCAAGTCAAGTCAAGTTTTATTTATACAGCACATTTTTAAACGATTTTTGGTCGAGCCAAAGTGCTGTACATATAATAAAAATACTCTACAGTAAAGACACTTTACAGCAAATACAACAGCACAGTTTGTTCAGAATATCAGTATGAGAAAAACGACACCCAGGGTGTTTCTCAATGTAGAGTACGCTTGCTTGGTAGCACATGTCTGCCGAGCATCTTGCTTCAGAAGCGAGGCAAGAATACTTCCTGGCATTCGGAAAACAAAGAGTGGAACAGGCTAGCAAGTGTGCAGGTGTGCGTCATATGAGAGGCCCCGCCTTACATTTTCCGTCACAGATTTGGGGAAATTGGTCCGTGCGCAAAGCATTGTGGGGATTTTAAGACCGCGGAGTCTACTCATGTGCAGCCTCGATATTTCTCCAAACGGAGTATGCCGGGCTCGGTAGATTTCCAAGTATGCTGGAGATTGGAACAGTACTTCGGCGGCACTCGATGACGTAGTATGCTTGAAATAGTGGCTCTTATGCTGCGTTCACACCGGACGCGATGCGACTATTCGCTTCGCTCTAATCGCTCCTATCGCATCGCTCTAAACGCTGGAGGTTCACCGCGGCTGCCAGCTGTGTTTACTCGCATCATTCAAACAAGACGCGCTGGCTCGGGAGCTACAACTACAACAAATGAACATATTTTACCGTGATTTAATTGTAATACACGTTTCTAAATGATGCCGAAGTAACAACATACTGATACCGGTTAGTAACAACCATGAATTAATGCTTTGACAAGTCTGCAGACAAGACGGCAGGCAAAACACCTTTTAAAATGCTTGTTTTCTGAATGAAGATCGGGTGAACCAGGCTAAGCTAACGTTGTATATGCTCATTCCACACTCATAACAACGGCCTACAGACATAAATAAGCAGCGACTGTATTCACCATGACACAGACAGTCTGTGGTTTGTACTTGTTTAACTTTTGTCCAGTTTCTGAACGGATATGAGGAGCTGTGAGCTCTGTGTGCTAACTGCTAACAGCTAACGGCTAATGTTGTGTGGTTGAACGTCAGTGACGGCGGCTGAGAACCTCACCGCTGATTGGCTTCCGCGAGAACGCGTCACGTGAATTTGACGCTCGAGTTGAAAAAATTGAACTCTCGCGTTTAACGCGGCACCGTTCAATCGCCTCAATCGTGTGATTCGCGCTGCGTCCACCGCTTCATGCGCGCCGTCGGAGCGAATTCGCGTCTGTCCACGTCTCTGCATTGACTTTACATGTAATCGCGCCGCCCCCAAACGTCGCATCGCGTCCGGTGTGAACACAGCATTAGTGATGTGTCGGTCGCGAACGAGCCGATTCTTTTGAACGGCTCTTTGGTACGAACGAGGGGAACCGAGTCCTACTTGGTGAGAGCCGTTCTTGTTATCGTTCAATCGTTGGTCCGCACTCACTGCCTGCCAAAATCCACTCGCCTTAAAAAGCTTGATTTTGTTCCCCAAACGTATTCTGTGAAGACCCGCCCCTACTCTGATTGGTAGGTTTCAGCACGAGGAGTTAGGTGGGGTT